TGGGGGGGCCCTGTACCGGAGAGAAAAGAAAAGGGGCGAGACCGAGGTGGGCTGGTGGGAAAGTGAGGGCCAGGGTCTCCAGAAAACCCTCTCCTCGCCCCCAACTCCGGGGTGGTCAGCAGATGGACTTGGCAGCCGACGGCTCCAAAAGGGGTGTCCAGGAGGGGCGAGGGGTGCTCTGTGTCCCAAGGCCCCCGAGCTGCCCCGCCCGACCAGCCGCTCCTGTTACAGCCCCGCGTGACACCAACATCACTTCTCGGCGCGTCAGTGCAGGTTTGGAGCTCGCTGGGCGGGCGCAACCTCGGTTTTCTCAGCGGCACCTCTGCCCTGGTGACCTGGCTCGACCTTGAAGCCAGCAGTGGCCCCATCCCTGGAGAACCTTTCCTGAACGCACTCTGGGAGGGACCCTCCTCCGTGACACCCAGTCCCCCGTGTCCCAGTCAGGTTGCACACGCCAGAGTCTGACAGTGGTCAGATGCCTGTCCACCAGACTGTAGACTCCTTCAAGATGCCCCTGCAGGCCTTCGAAACCAGCCTACTCCCACACGCACTGGCCTTAAAAATGGCCAAACCTCTATGGAACATTTGCTCTTGATTTAGTTAAATAAATATGTGTGTGTACACACATCTATATGTGTATATATACATACGTATTGTAGCCCTTGAAGTTAGCAAGCATTGTGCTAAATACCTTACAAATACCTCCGCCTTTGAACCTTCCTGACAGCTGAGCCCAGACTGTGGCCCCTGCAGGGGTGAGGAATGGCCATTGGTGAGGAATGGCCCTTGCAGCAACTCTGCTCTTAAGTCCAGGAGGCCTAGAGGCTTAGTGACAGGAGGTGCACTGCTCTGCGGGGAAAAATGGGCAATCTCCTCTCATGGTATTTACAGCCTCAGAAAGTCCTGCTGGAGGGTCAGCTGTGAGTCAGTTCAGACTTGACAGCAAACAATAACTGTTCTCAAGTCACAGAGGGCTTTTGGCTCAACCATTTAAGTGCTGGATGGCTAAGAGAAAGGCGGGTGGTTTGATTCCACCAACTACTGTGCTGAAGAAAGATGTGATGATCCGCTTCCGAGAAATCTTGTTGCTGCTTTTATGTGGCTGTTGAATGGGAAACATTCCCAGCTGACCCTCCAGCAGGTTTTCAGAGGCTGTAAACCGCACAGGGGGAGATCGCCCATGGATTATTGGGTCAGCAGCCCTTAGCCTGGGAAGCCATGCGGGGTGGGTCTGCTCAGTCCTTCTCAGCTGTTCCTGGGAATTTACTGAAGACAATGGGTTTGGTCTGGGGTTTTTTGCTTTCCAATCAGGAGAGATTACAGCTCCTAAAAGTGAGCAAAGACCCCAGAACCACAGGTTCAGTCTGCAGCCTGGGTCTCAGGACAGGGAGTGAGAGAGAGAGAGGGAGAGGGAGCGGAACCACATGGCAATCCTAGTGTTTAGAAGAGTGGCCGTGACCCTGAGAAAGAACAGAGAGGCTGTCTTGCACGTGGCTCAGCTTCAGGACCTTCTGAGTTGGACCAAGCATAAAGCTTTACCCATGTCTGTGACCACTCTGTCTCAGCTTCCCCTTCTGTATAATGGGTTCCTATGTCCGAGGGTAATTGTGATAACTAAATAAACCTCGTTATGTGCCAACAAGCCCAAGTTGGGTGATTTTAATCTGTGGCCCTCAGGCCTGATTCAAATTTGTGTGTGTGTGTGTGTGTGTGTGTGTGTGTGTGTGTGTGTGAAACATTCTTCTAAGTGGTCTGTGCATTGCTGTAC